AGGTAGACTGGAAGACGATGATTTCAAATATCTAAATTTAATTCTGATTGGAGATGTTTGAGCCGTGTTATAGCATTCCGGCACTTCCGACGCGACGTCGCGTCTTTTATAGCAAATTGTAGAACCGGCAGTGACAGTACTGTAATCGGTCTATCCATATTGAAATCGCTTGTGAAACAATCAAAGTAAGCAAGCGGGCACTCAAATTTGTACGCGGAGTTAATTTCTGTGAGCGTACAGCCGAAAGCTCGCCCCTTCCGTAAATTAGGACGTCCGCTCGCATAAAACTTTAAGTTCGCTGTCTGACAGCGAGTGTCTGAGAATGCATTGTTGAAAGTAATGGAAATTACGCCAATGAGCACGTAAACCAACGCGAGAATACACGTGGTAATTGGTTTAGGCAACGAAGAATTTTGCAGAGATAACACGCCTGCTCTTCCTTTGTATAATTTTTAATTATATTAACTTTGGCAATTATTGTCTATCATCTTAAAATTTGTTAGGTTGTCGCAGATCTTTCGCCATTACTTTTCCAGGTTTAATCTAAAATTCTTTTTTTTTTCAATACACTCAACAATAAATACAAACAAGTTGCCACTATAATTCTATGCTTTGTCATAAGCATGGATGCCCCTGCAGAAATAGCTCTATGACTTTTCCGACTTTTTTTGCTTATTTCTTACCAGAAATTTCAGACTATAGAAGCAAATTTCTGCCTAGTAAAAATTGCAAATGCCTATCGTGTACATGCTTTTTTTCACTTATAGTGTCGTCCTTCCAAATTTATATATTAGGAGCAACTGATGCTCTCGACACCATTTTTTAAAAGCTAAATGTAGCGAAAGAAGCGATTATCCAATTTAATATAAGTAGACTCAAGAGCTTCTATATGGATTCACATAGGACGTATAAGAGATGAAATCTGTCAAGAAGCCAAAACTGGTGACGGTGTGATTATGCGACAATCTATTCATATGACTAAATGCATAAAATAATGTAAACTTCATAAGTGTTAGTGAAACGGGCACTTTTTCCTGGTTTTCTTGCAATGACCGGATGCCCATCTCG